CCCAGTCCCCGTCCTCTAGCCACTATAGCACACTAGCTGGCCTTGGCTACATAGGCATATTATGGACGTACAAAATTCTTTACACTTAGACTTAACAGACGGCAAACAGCATCTCGTCCAACTGTGTATCCTGAAGGAAGGCTTCATAGTGACGGGCGAGGGTTATAAGCCAAGAAGCTCCAAGCTAATCTATTTAACCTACTCACTGATAAAGGTCACAATATATGTGTGGACTCAAATAATGTACCAGATGCTGCCGATTAACAGCAGGGGATGGCTATTGTCATCCTGCCCTGTTTACGAACATCCTAGAGGCGACTGTCTGGCTGCTGTTGGTGGTACACACAAACTGCATTAGATGGACCAGCATGCCAATTCGTGTGTGAAATCCCTGCCAGATGAGATCAGCATCAAAATGAGTCTGAGCTGGAACTGTTTGAAGGCACCATTCAGGAGCTCTCTCTGTGTTAACCTTTCTTGAGGCACAGACATTTTCACACACACAGCACTCTTGTTTCAATCCGGTTGTAACACAAAATGGCAAAGCCATCTTGGCCAGGAAAAAAAAGGTGAAAACTGTTTTTCTTTCGCAGTAAGAATTAATGTAACACAGTTATACCACGTCTTTTACCTTCCTACAGAGGCTTACAAAATACGATAGCAATAAAGTATCTGATTTAAAATATGGTCAACACAAGTTGTATCAGACATTCAATGGAATACATTTGTTTAAGCCTCATGTATGAAATTTTCTCAAGTGGTCTCTTCAAGGAGGAAAAGAACAAATAGTTCCATTTTACAACACGGCAGGGAGACTGCTATTGTTGTCATGTATTTGGACAAGTCTTGTGTTCCATGGACTCCAGAAGGACTTGTCCAAAAGCAGGATGGGCATTAAAATGGCAAATGCAGTTCAAGGGTTCAGTGATGCAAAACGGGGCAATCATTTCTAACTTCACACATAAGCTATTGAGAGTCTGAGTTGGTAATAGCTGACCAAGACCACTAAATTCTAAGTAATCAGTTTTGGAATCTTCCCAAACGAGCTCCACGCATGCACAAAGTGTCCATATGTGTGAAGCACAGACCACAAAGAAGAACCTGGCTTTGTAGTGGACAGCTTGATGAAAATGTCAACCTGGTGTGCAGTTGCTATGAAAAAAGCAAATTCCATGTTAGCCATTATCAGAAAAGGAAACAAAAATCAAAATGTATCATTTGTTGCTATGTGCCATCAAGTTGTCTCTGACTTAAGACAACCCTATGAATGAATGCCTTCCAAAATACCCAATCCATGACATCCCTGCTTAGCTGTTCTAAATTCAAGGCTGTGGCTTCCTGTATGGTGCCCATCCATCTCTTATTTGGTCTTCCTTTTCTCCTTCAGTCAGTTTCATCATGTCGTTATAAAGCTCTATGATGGGACCATACTTGGAATTCTGTGTGTGTCTCTGGTAACCCGAAAAAGGATGTTAGTGCTTCCCTCATAGCAGATTCAATATAGCAACTTCTGCTAGGAAGGCAGAGAGAGAATTTTGATTTTGGATTCAAAATGATTGCATTTTGCCAAGGGTTTCCTACAGCCAAATAAGATTTAATCTACTGGTCTATTATGTCACCTAGGGCTAATATATGAAACTAGAATCATTTTATGTGTGAGACTATAAAACTAACAATTTGGTAAACTTCTGTGGTTGTGGTCTGATCTGCGGAGATTACAACTCGATGAAATTCATCCCATAGTACTACTTCTGCTCTTCTGATCATTTATTGCAAAAATGACTTGCTTGTCCTTTAGAGAAGCTCGATGGTTGCAGATTGGAAACTTGCAGAGTTTTATACAGTATACCAGCAAGTTCTTTCTTCCTCAAAATATAAAAGGATTCTCCTCTACTTCAACCAGGAGAAGCAGCTATTTTGTTTTTGGTGCACTTGAAGGGTGCAGTTGGAGTAATTAGACACACATCTAATCTGGTTATACTAAGTGACTCTCTGCTACCTGTGGTAAGGAGAGGGTTGTACTCCTTAAAGGAACTGTAACTGCTTCCTCACTTTCTTAAGTTTGGGGTTCCTTCTTTGACCTGGTGTGCTCTCATGTGTCAAACTACAGCTCCCATTATTCCCACCCACCAGCCCCAATTCTTGTAGGAGAGGATGGGGATTCTCCTCTGGAAGGCACCAGGTTGGAAAAGGCTCAGTTAGGATATCAAGATTGTGATGAAAAAAGAGGAGTCAGATAAACACAAATGAAAAACCTGTGCATGAATGTAAGTTACACCAGAACTTATTATCTCCTCCTGTATAATGGAAAACCAAGAAAGGAAAAAGGTTAGAACATGGGTCCTCAAACTAAGGCCAGCAGGCCAGATCTGACCCGCTATGCCCATTTAACAGGCCCACCCCACAGGTTTTGCACTTGCCAGGCGCACGCGTGGGCATGCAGCTTGCTCGCGAAGAGGTCGTTTTTGGACTAGCTCGGAGAAAATGTTCTCCTCATGAGCAAGCTGGTGCCTTGCTGACCAACAGCAGCTTTCACGCAGGGAGATTGTTTTGGACTCGATCTCCTCACAAGCAAGCCAGCGCCTCGCCCCATGTGCCCCCCTTCCTGCCTCGCCTCGTGTGCGCGCCTTGCCCCCTCACCAGCCCGCACCCCCCCCTCGCCGGCACTGCCTTGGCGGCCTGTGCCCACCGCTGGCACCTGTCCACTGGCCCCCTTCAGAAAAAGACTGAGGACCCCTGGGTTAGAAGGATGCTTTCTAGGCACAAGACACATAACCAAACAACTGAGCCTAGAGATAGTCTTACAATACATCAGATTGTATTTGAGGATAGATACACGTGTGTATGTGTATGCATGTACACTGCCCTGTACATGGAAAGCTTTCACAAGAGTTCTACTTGTTTTCCTGATATGCTAACTGTTTACGTGAGGGATTCTGCTTCTTTGTAGAAAGTAACACATAGTCTGAAGCTCTCCAGCCCCCAGAGACATTAATCATACCAAGTCAGAATTGTTCCTTTTGTCTTTCTTCTCTGCTGTGCTTTGGCATTTAATCTGGGCAGCCAGAATGGAATGTGAAATTACTGAAATAGACAGAGATACAGCTTTGGTTTTGTAGGGCCCAGGAAAGTCATCATGGCAATTAGGCCAGAGTTTAACGATAGAATCAATCTAGCTGTATGCTTCTGTGATTCATTTTAAATTGCTTGTCAAAAGGTGAAAGGGGAGTTTGTTTATCTCACTAAATTGAAACATTGATTGAGTCAGGTGGCTCTTTAAACCGAGCATGGCAGAGGAAATGATTGCTGAAAGCCAATAACCTTTTAGCTTGGCTGAAACATGTTCTGTTTCTAATCATAAACTGAATGCACTGTCACAAGAATGTCTCTCTTTCCATGTGGAGAAAAACATGCTCTCCAGCACAAGGATGAATAAGAATGACACACAGAGTTACTGGGGACATTAAGTCTACTTTGTCTGTCTTTTTTGGGCCAATCTTCTCCCTTCTGAGCATTGGTTGCAGGAGTTTTTCCCCAGACCACACAATAAAACTAATTCCCCCTCTTTCTGGTCCTCAGTGATTTAAATTCAAGCCCCAACAAAGAGACATATCTAAACCTCTACTAGTTTTATACTAGTTGAATTGACATGCCCACGACAACCTGCTGAGAATTGTGTCTTAGAGATAACTTTTTACCCCTTAACTACAAGCCCCAGGGTTCTCAGAGGAAAGGGAATGTGCATATACTAAAAGTCTGTAATATGTTGCATTTGATAACAGGTATGTAGGAGCATAAGGAATGCCATGCTGGATCAAACCAAGGTTCATCAAGTTCAGCATTCAGTTCATACAGTGACCAAACAGATGTCTCTTGGGATGCCACAAACAGAATGGAAGCACAAGAGCAACCTTCCACTCATGTCCCCCAGCAATTGCAGTACAACACAACTGGAGGACAACTGGCTGGGGCTTCAGTAGCCGGTTGCAGTTAGGCTACTGAACAGAACAGGCTTTGTACAAAACACAGCTTTCAGATTGCAAAGAACTCTTCTGCCAAGCAGACAGAACACATGTTAATTAAGAGCCGAGATGAAAGTAGAATTTATGGCCAACAGCAACGCTCAGTTCTGACTTCTACAGAGCAACACAGACACCTTCGCCATCCCCCAGGCTTGCACGTGGTAATGCAATAAGCCAGCCTAAGTCTCAGGGACCTTAGGGCAGAGATTAGCTGCTAGGTTCTTGTTTCCTCCTCCCATGAACAGACGCAATCTTCAAGATGGATGCTGATACCATCACATGGATAATGTTGCCCTTTGCTGTCTCACTGAGGGAAAATGGCCACTCCTCTGCACTAGCAAATGCAACGGCAAGCATGGTTTTTTAAAGACCACAAAATTATTTATCTCTGAACATATGCAGTGCCAGCCAGCCCTATTCAATTGTTCTGCCAGGGCTTACCGGGGGCTTAGCAGGACTCTCAATCCCTGCCATGCTGTTATGAAGCAAGGCGGGCACCCCCAAAGGAAAGGGGTTCTCCCTGCCCCCTACAGGTTCTTGCTAGTGCTAGAAAGGAAAGCTCAACCAAGTGATGGAACGGGGAGGCCAGATTAGCTCAGAATTAGCTGAGGGCTACCTCAATGTTTTGTGGAAATGAGCCGGGGTGACTCACCAAACTCTACATCCAGATGACCTCTGCAGCGAAACTAGAAAAGAAAGCACCACACAGGTGAGGCTAGAGCTGTACTGACAGAAGAGAAGGTGGCTGTGCTGAAAGTTTATGCTCATATTTAAACTCTGGCACTCCCCTGTTCATCTGGGTAACCAATATATACACAGATATTTGTGTTGGTGCCTGCGTGCATGTCCATGTCCATGTCTGTATGTGCATACTGCAATCTTGGTTGCATTGTCACTACCAAATACAATTGGAACACTAACCTTTTTCATATTAGCATACTTCACACTACAGAAGCCCTCAAGGACAACAAAACTCACCTGGTACGTGTTGTCGAAACTGTCATACATGAACCTTGTGATCAGGGATGTCTTCCCAACTAGAAAGGGAAACAACAACAACCAGAGATTATATGAAAATAGCAGCCCAGAACCACCACCAGCCCCTCTGCAAAATACACATGAGCAAGCAAAGGCAAATCTTAGATTCAGGCACTCCCTTCTCCCTCTCCCCTTCCTTCTACTCCCAATGCAATTTCCTAAAAGACTGGTAGCTTCCTGTAAAGCAGTTTGCTGTCACATGTAAGCATGCAGACATGTACTTGTGGTTTGCACAAGCCACAATTTGCTTGCAACCCAGGATCAAAAATTAGATGAAGTTGGTGTGCATGCCTGAATGTAATCATTGTTGCACTGGGATGCATGGAGAGATAGGCAGAGTTGGATGAATTCGGATTTGGACAGCATGGGTTCAAACTTTTGCTCTGTGCAGCTTTGAGCAAGTTACCAAATGCCTTCAGGGTGCTTGGGTGTTCTTATCTATGCAAGGAGGAAAAGACAACATGGCCCAGGCGAGAGAGTGATGGCCCATTCAGGTGTGACTTCCCTGCTTGGTTTAAGCAATTCATTTCCTCAGTCTTAAGGCTGGAAAGATAGATGTGAAAGTGTGCATAACTCTGCTCTTCCTCATGACTGGGACAAACAAATCTATGCAAACAAAGCATGCTTGGAGATATTAAATCTGCATTATTTACACAGCCCATAGAATTTGTTTTTAGCTAGCATCTGAGTTACTCCATGCAAGTTATATTTTTTTCTTTCAGCATACAGAAGTCTGATGATAACACACCCATCTCAGAGGAGAAATGAAAGGATAAAAAGAAGTTCAGAGAAATTTGTCCTGATCAGGAGTGTTGCCAGGAATTTTAAAGATTCAAGATCAACACCCACAGGATACAACCATGCATGAAATCTGCATGTGCTGATTTGTATCTGCATATGAAAAAAGAGAAATAATTACTAGATTTAAATTTCAGAAGAAAGCAAAGTCAATTAATTTCTCATCCAAACCACCTCAAATAAAATTAATTCTGAAAAATAATATATATCTGCAATAAATTTGCTCCAGGCTCATCCCAAATCATTAGTCCCTCCTAAATTATGATTAATTAGCACTCTCTCACTCCTCCTACCTTCAACATCTATCTCCTTTCTTCCTGCAATCAAGCTTAGCAGAAAAGCTTCTACTGACACCAACAGAAGATTCTGTGCCCACCCACCTCAACCTCAGCTTCCTTGCCAAGCTGCAGGAGTGGAGGAGGCTGGGGGGATGTTCCAGGATGTGGGGAAGGTTAACCTTTCTCTTTCCAGCTGCAGTCCCCCTTGAAAATTACCCCCAGCAAGGCAACTAAGCCAAGGAGGTTGCATTTCATTGGCACCAATGGACACTCAGGGCTCTGGGGAAAGGTTCTTAGAGATAGATTTGAAGCTAGAAGCCCACTAGCAACACCAATGGGCTGGTATTCAGTCATTGCTCCCTCCCAGTCTCAGCTTTGTAATGTCTAATGCCACCCAAACCTCCAACTTTGCTGTCAAGGCTAACATTACTTGCCACTGATATACCAAACATGCATGTATCAGGACCTCTGGAGCATTACCCCACAGCCATTACAGAACATATTGGCTTTTTGATCTTTTAGCAGAGAATGAACTGAAACTGTCAGTTTCAGGTGAGAAACCAAACAACCAGATCTCTCGAGAATAGATGCTTTGACATATGCAACCCCCCCCCCCCCATTGCACTCCCATTGTCTTAGTATTTCTACAGTAAACAAAGCCTTGGATACACCACAACAAATACAACAAAAGATTTCCAAATTATAATAAGTATACATTAAACAATTAAAACAAACTTCAGTTTAAGTCCATCACCCCTGAGGAAACTTTTTAAATGAAAAATTATTACAGTGCCAATCATCAAGAACATTAATTAAGTATGCTAATTCCATCTGGGTTGTGAATTCTGAAAAGATAGGATCTTTAGGTTTAACAAATATTCCGGGATTTAGGTAACACAGGAGGAGCGCCATGGTGAGAGCCCATGGTTACAGTTGTCTTGTTCATCCCTTTCCCAGTGAGAAACCCAGTTGAAGGAAAGAGGACATGCCGTATTTTGCCTCAGAGCTATGCTTGGTGATGTGGTTTAAGGCCAAGTAGTTTAGCACCTTAGCATTCCAGGACCAGCACTAAGGATGCACCTGATTTTTCAAAGTGAATACTATTCGGCTGCTGTTGCTGTAGTTTTAACAAGGATCTGGGGGGGGGGGAGAACTTTCTTAGGAGGTCAGTATTCAATTCAGAGAGGCTCTTGGGAAGGATGGGGAAGCACAGGGGCTACCGCATATGGTACCTGAAAGCTCCTATTGCCAGCCACTAAGTCTTTGGAGGGGCAGTTCAACATTTCAGAATGAAGGGAAAACTTTGCAAAAGCTTGGAAATCACCAAACGTTGGTTGTTGGGAGGCCAGGGGAAGGAGCTATGGCCATATGAGGAATTGCAGATCCCTGGATTAGATTTACACTAGTAAATAGGGCAGTGCCTAATGAGCTTTCTTTACTGGGAAAGTAGACACAGATCAAGAGTATGGTCCCCCAACACCCACCATTACCTGTGAGGAGTCTACCTTTTAATAGTAAGTAATGCAAACCACAGAAGGCTTAATTGCACGTGTTCCTTATTTAAACCCCAAAGGCCTGATCCTGCCAAGGCATCTCAAGGATATTGAGATAGATTCAAGGATGTTTAGGAAGAAGCAAAACCATCTGTGTCAAAGATAACATGCAGTTTATTGAATAACAGGATGAAATACAGATGCAGACTATAAACAAGTGAAAGAACATTTCCATGCTGTATGGGTTCCCTGAATAGAGGAGGAGATGCTCCATGGGCTTCCAAAGTTGTTTAGGTGAGCAAAGTTCTCCCTTTGCCAAGAACTAAAGACAAAGCCTTTTGCCACTGATTTTTGTAAACTTCCTCTCTTCCTTGCTTCAGAGGCTATTAGTACACAAAAGCTCTCCCCCATCCCACTTTTCTGGAGACAGAAGAAGGACAAACTTTCTTCAGTAGAACAGTTTGTTTCTCACAGCAAAAGCAGCTCTTATCTAAAACCTAAGAAATGCATATATCTATGCAAATATCTAAGCAAAAGCAGTTCTTATGTAAGAGATACACTTGGGGAAAGAAGGTTCAAGGGATTCATCTCTGGTGCTCTTCCTAAGAAGCTGAAGGTCATAAAGTTTTGGCATGACTCCAAAAAAATCTCCTTAGTTTTGGACATAAGAAAGTTAAATATCTTCATAAGTATGCATTAGATGTATAAGATGCATACTTCTGCATAAGCAGGTGCTCGCAAGGCTCCATTAATTCATAAAGTAATGTACCAGAGTAATCAGGGATGATGTCAAGGGTAGGAAAGATTGGGCCTTGCTCCTCAAAAGGGCCCACTGACAAGACTGCTCTGGACTTTGTCTTCCTCTTCACCATGGCAACCTGCTTGTTCACCTGCATCTCACTCTACACCAGTGATGATGGTGGTGGTGAGGAGCAGCAATAGATGCTACTGCCTACTTTCTCACTGGGTCTGTACCTGTTGAGGAAACTTATGAGGAGCAACAGCAGCAAATGACAATGCTGGTTTAAAGGTCCCATTTCAAGGGTCCCCTCCTTTAAACACACAATGAGAACTGGCATATTGAAGGTGTCTATCTCAAGATCCCTCAAAAACCCAGAGTCAGCACTGACACAGTTAATAAGGCAAGCTCAAGGCCACAGCCTGCCCGTATACTTGTACTGGTCCAGAGATGGAGGGGAAGAGATTCTGACAGGGGAAAGCATTAAGAATCTCCATTCAGTGCCATGCTCTGATCAAATTCAGAGTCCCCACAGTTGCTCTTTGGCGAACCTTAAATTGTCAGGAGATCCAATTACGAGTCCTCTGCATTTCAGTGGACTTTGCCTTAGGACTGGATTCAGATGTTTAAACTCACAGAAGCATGGGTGGGGCACTGTCTAGGTTTTGTGTCTCTGCTGTGCAATGAAATAAGAGCTCATAACACCTGTGTGGTGAGGCTAATAAGCTGTTTCAACACTTGCAATGCATACATTTCACCATGGATAAAATGGAAAAAGCCCTCTGCCCCACATAAACAAGTTACATTTAGGGCTCCATAGCATTGTGGAGCAGTTTGCCGTCGATTTTGTTTTATTTCTGTTTGTTTTTCAGAATGGGTCTCAAGGGATGATGTAGGGGGAGTGAAGAAGTCCCCCTGCATCTCCACAGTTGTTTTGTGTTAAAGGACGGGGGGGGGGGGGCACAGCGCACTCTCTGGTGGCCCGGAAAAGACAGGTTTCATCAGTTCACATGGGGAGTACAACTGCTGAATTCTTACATTTTCATCCAGGGCATCAGTGACTGGAAGAGCAGGAAAATCTTCATTCTTCTAAGGCCCCAAATACATTTAACCTGGAACGTTTTTGCCTGGTGCTGTTTATTGCTTATAGTTGGGGAGAATTCAACCCACGAGCTACGAGCTACATATGTCTTTCTTCCTTTAAAGTAAGTGGGTGGGACCTGATCTGGACTGGGACGCTAGCATGTGGAGGCACTGCTAGGGCTTTAAATGCTTGCCCAGCATCGCAGACACAGTCCATTTCCCACTTCTCTGCACCTGTAATTTTCATTGCCCAAAAATAACTTAGTCATCCAGATTTGGCCCCTTGCATTTATTTCAGTTAAAAATTAATTGCAGATGTGGATGACTGCTAGCAACAACTTCAACATGACATGTAGTTGCGTGTGAATTACCTCTGCAAAATCAAAGTTGACAGTGAGGTCTTCCTATTAATAGTCTGCACTGTTTGTTTTCATTCATTCTTCCATTAAAAAACATACATTCACACACCCATTTCCTTCTGTATAGTTTGCGTTTGCACAAGCTTTTTGTAATCTGTAGGCACACATGGATGTGAAGGGACCATGACTTTCCATGGGAAGAAACAATGCCTTGGCTCCTCATGCATTCTGATTAGAAGATGCCTATTG